TTGCATAAAATAAACTATCTATTCTCAATGATCCCAAATAAACCATCAACTGACTGGTTTAGATCCCTGGACTCCTCCATCTCTAAATTTCTCTGGAAAGATAAACCCCCACGTATTAAACTAAAAACACTACAGAAGACCAAAGGAGGACTAGAGCTACCCAATTTCTATTATTACTTTCTAGCCAATAGGCTAGAATACATCTCAAGATGGATAAAACACACACCCCTTGATGAACCCTGGCTGGACGTAGAACAGACACTTTGCAATAATATAATGATCTCGGACCTTCCATTCATTAGCTCAAACATAAAACGACAGGAATGCTTTAAAAGCATCAATATCAGCTCCTCTCTGACAGCTTGGTGGGAGTTTCTTAAAATGACAAAGTCTTCACCAATTCCATGCAGACGTACACCCATCTGGAACAACCCTGACATCCTACAACAGAATAAGATGATAAACTTCCCAGGTTGGAGGTGTAAAGGAATTGAATATTTGGAACATATATATGAAGAAGTGGACTACATCCCATTTAACAGATTAATTATACAATATGGGATTGATAAGAATAAATTTTTAGAATATCAAGAAATTAAATCTATAACAAAAAATAAATTTAACCTTAACACTAGAATTGAAATACCAACAAGTGTATTAGAATTCCTTAATCTTAACCCTCCCAAATTATTATCTAAGGTTTACCGGACACTTATTAAAATAGATGAATCAATATCCCTTCCCATTGTAAAATGGGAGACAGACTTGTCAGTCAACTTTGACCAAAACTTCTGGTCTCAGATATGTCTAAGAACTTTTAAGATGATTAAAAACTCCAATTTACAACTAATACAATACAAAATCCTTCATAGAGTACACTATACAGATCAACGGATGTTCAGGATGGGTTTCGCATCATCTAATGTTTGCTCACAGTGTACAGACAATATTCCTGACAATCACATCCACACATTTTGGTTCTGTCCACCTGTTCAGAGGTTTTGGTGCCGGATATGTGAAGACTTATCAAAGTGTCTGAGATGTAATATTCCACTCTCTCCGTCAGTTTGCTTATTGGGCCACTTAGATGATGTCACCTTGGAGACAAAGTCAAGTCACATGATTTTTACTGCTTTATGTATAGCAAAAAAAAAAACTATACTCATAAATTGGAAAAATAAAAATACTCTTAGTATTAAACAGTATAAAGACCTTTTGTTGGATTACACCAGTCTTGAGATAGCCTGCACCTCCACATCAGAACAATCTCTCTGGGCTTCTTTGATTGGCTTCAACCTGTAGTGGAGGTGGGTAAACCCCTTTGATTTCGTCCCGTGGGGCACTGTGGTTGATGTGGGGGGGTATCGAGGCTGGGGGCATAGGGGGGTCGTGGGCCCGGGGCAGTGGTGCTCATCTGGGGAGATGGCTTTGGTGGTTCTGGGCGTTGACCTCTGCTGGCTGCATGCAGGCCTCTGGGCGGTCTGTGCCAGCGGGCGCAGGTTGCTGGCCTGGTGGCCTGGCTGCTCCTGGGTGGGTTTGGGGTGGGCGCGGGTTCTGGGGGAGTGTCGCTCCCGGGCTGGGGTCCCGGCTTGATCCGGGGATCTCGGGTCTTGACGGGTATGTTGTCGGGGTCTTGGGCCGGTGCATGCGCCGGCGCCCAGCCCTGGCCTGGGGGCCCTTGGTGCGCTGGTGGGCTTTGGGGCCTCTGCCACGAGGGAGGGGGAGGATGGGGGGGATGGGTGGACTCAGCCTGGGTGTCTTCCTGCCTGGCTGTGGCTGCGGTCTGGTGCTTGGCTGGGGGTCTGGGCTGTGGGGGGCTATGGGTGTGGGGGGGCTTTTGCTCGGGTGGCTCTGCACTGCTGGCCCGGGGGTGTCTGGGCGTGTGCCTTCCCTTGCATGGGGTGCTCTCATTGTGGGTGTTGCTGTGGTGGACTGGTCGGTCCTTTTGTGGGGGTGGGGGTGCGCTCTCGGTCATCATGGTGCGCTGTCTGCGGCTGTTCGGGCACTCCTGGCTGATTGTTGCTGCTGGAGTTTGGTGGCTTCTTTGGTTGGGGGGCTGGGTGTTGAGCTGGGGATCGGGTTGGGGATCTGGACAATCTCAGGGGGGCTTGGGTCGCTGGCCCGGGTTCTGGTCGGTCCTCGGGGCTATGTGCCGGTCCGTGGCCTAGGTCCCTGGTGGTGCGGCTGCCTCCTGCTCCTGGATGGATGCACTGGACCCTCACTCCTCTGGTGGATCTCAGAGAATGGGGGTGCCTATTGGGGTCAGTGGGGGAGCTGGTCCCCTGGGAGGGCATTGCCACCTCAGTTGTTCCTCCCCATCCCGACGTCTTCTTCCACCCACTCCATCACACCACCACTCAAGCAGGGCCTTGGGGTTCAAGTGCACTACTGAGCTGCGGGGAGGATCCTCCATCTCCGTGGTTCATGGAGACCTGGGCCCCAATTTTATCAAACAACCTAGACACTCGCATATAACATTCTCACGACACATGCATATATAGGGTCTGGAGTGGGCACATGGTGGCATATAGCAGGTGGGATGTGTAATCATTCTCACCTCTGGGACCTGTGCCCACTCTCATATGTAGCATGTAGACATTTAGGGTTCTGGGCAAGGGTTGGGGAGGTGAACGGGCACTGCCTGCTCTCTGGGGAAGGGGTGGGTCTGTGCCAGTCGCCGCCTCATCCCCCCCCATTTTAAACGCACTGTATAACAACATGCATCAACATCTTATTTGAGTGGGGGGAGAGAGGAGTTGGGTCTTCCAGTTTTCCTTAAACCCTCATTCTCCGTCTGACATTTGGGGTCGGGGGCAGAGGGGGGTGGTAGGCTGCCTGGTTGGGGTCTGGGCTGTGGGTGGGTATTGGGCCTTTGGGGGCGATTGGGGGTGGGGCTGGTGCTCCGGTTCTCCCTGGATTGTTTGGATCCTTTGATCAGGGTTCCTGGTTCCAATGGCCAGCCCTTTGGCTGGGGTGGCTGCCGGGTTCTGGCGGGAGGTCGGCTGTGGTTGTGTCTGTGTGGTCGTTGGTAGTGCGTGGCTGCGGTCGGGAGAGTGGTTTCACTTCAGCGGAGTGCTGGCTGGTCGGACTGATGTGACATTCACGGTGCGGGGTGCTGTGTGTGTGTGTGTGGGGGGGGGGGGTGTGGGGGTGTGTGTGTGTGGGATGCATGGGTGGCATGCCGGGGCTTCTCCGGGCCTGTGGTGTGGGGCTTTAGGGATGCATTGGTGCGCTGGGCCGGCCTTCCTCAGCTGCTGCTCCCTGCTGCTCTGGCCCCCGGCCTGGGGCCGGCTTGCGGTCACTGTTGGGCAGGTGGGGCACATGGACGGCCCGACAGAGGCTCTGTTGGGCTGTCTCTGTGTGTCTGTTTGTCTCAGGTTGGGTTTTGGGTGGCCCCCCTCTCTTGGATCAGTTTTGGCCCCCCATTTGGTGGGTCGTGCTCCACTCCGGTGGTGGGCCCCCCTGCTGCCGGTGCATTGGCGGCTCTCAGCAGCTGGAGGTGGGTGGTGGGGTGTGTGCGGGCCCGCCCTGGTGGCTGCCTGCAGGGGCCTGGGTGCCCTGGCTCTGTCGGGCCTCTGTTGGGGGGTGGTACGACCTCGGGACTCGGTGTCCATGGCCGGATCCACTCTGGAGGGGCGGGTTGCTGGCGGGGCCTGTTGACTCGTCGCTACGGCCTCCTGGGGGTTTCTGTATTGTGGTTGCTGGGGATCACCCGGGGCTTCCCTTTGCTTCTCTCTCTGGGGGGTGCGGGTGTCCCTGTTGGGGGACTACCGGAGTTCCGGGCTTGGGGGCCACTGTGTGTCTATGGTTCCAGTCTTCCCTGTGTTACCATCGTGTCCTGTGGGGACGGGTCTTTGGGTCCCCACATCCACTATTGAACATTTTTATGGAGAAACCTTATAGTGCCAAGCATGCTCACACAGGTGTTTAGATCCATGTGTTTATCAGATACACACTCAGTTGGGTTGTGAATACCACTAAATATATCTTGTATTACCATGTACTGTATAAATTACTTTCTAATGATGTTATAACTATCATTATATAAGTTGTTTGTTGTTGTGGTTTCTTGGTTTTGTCTTTTTTTTTTTTTTCTTTCCGCAGGTCTAGAGTCAGACTTCAATGATGTTGATTTGTGTTCTCTTTATCTCTCTCTCTCTCCTCTATTCCTATCTCCTTCTTTACATTTTAACTCTTCTCTCACTTTTCTGCTTTATCTTCTTTGTTTTCCGTCCCCGTGTCCATTACATCTGAAACAAACCCAAAGCATATTCTAATAAAATTTAATTTATATATCAAGTGGAGCATTAAGGCCAGCCATAATGCTCTGCTTGTGAAAGTAAATCTGTTGGACATCACTTTGACACTCAGACAATAATTCTAAGTGTCACAATGCTGGACAGGACAAGGGGAAAAGAAAATAAACTGGGACCCTGTGTACATAATTTCATAATTTCACGACAATAAATAAGCAGAGTGTAAAAGTTTGAAGGACTGGTGTTCTGTGGAGCACCTCGGTGGTCTCAGTCTAGGACTGAAGGTGCTGTGGTCAGGGTCCAGGTGTCATGCAGGGGGGGTGACGTGTTGTTCAGGATCTGGAGCAGGTTCCTCAGCATCCTCTGCTCAGACACCTCTGTCAGAGACTGCAGGTCCACTCCCAGAACTGAACCAGCTCTCTCATGAGTTTAGAGTCTGATGACATCAGGTTTGACACAAAGTGACTTTATTTTGAAAGTTTTGGTACTTTTGAAAGTATCGGTAGTTTTGCAGTGAGCTTAATTTTAAATAAACAGGTATAACTGTGATAGAGAAATAACCTCGCAAGTACTTCTCACGCATCTTAAGTTTTTTTTCACTCTAACTATACACATTTGTTAAACAACGTGTACACTTACAGGGTTACCGTCGAGGCTTTTATTTTGACAGTTCAAGCCGGATGTTCAGTTAAATAAAGATATCATAAAGTGGGGTACGTGTAGGTTCGAAGCGGAAACTTTTAGACGTACTTCCCAGCTTGTAAGTGTTCAAAGCTGGCAGGCAGCGGACACTTGAGCAAGGCAGCAGGACTAAAGTATGTCTCCACGTCGGCAGGAGCAGGGGAAGAACCGGAGCGGCTCGGTCCTGAACTTGAGGAGCACCGGGAGTCCGGGCTCGGTCCGCCGCAGCGCCGTGCTGCCCTCGCTGCTAACCTTCCTGGTGATCGTAGCCTCCGGGGGCCTGCTCTTCATGATAGAGAAGGGGATGCTGAACAGCATGGACACGCCTGCTCCCAGAGGCAGCAGGCGGCTGGAGCCCATCAGGCAGGCCGGGGAACACGGCGGCGTGGACGTGGACTCCCAGGTAAACTGGTCAGCCACCAGTCTGTTGTAAACTGGGATACGAGGCTTACACCACTGGAGGAGTGCTTACAGCCGTCGTCATCCAATGGGACAGTTGGGGGTTCGATTCCACCAGCAGTCACATGTTGAAGTGTCCATGGGCAAGACACTGAACCCCCCCCCCCCTCCCCTTATGTGTGTCCCATCAGTGAATGTGACAAAGTACTGATACTGTACACGTCCGGTAGAGTGCTGTATGAATGTG